AGTATTTGCAATATACTTACATCGGGCACCTGTTTCTGTTGTATAGCATTATCAATATACTTACTTCGTGCAACTGTTTCTGTGGTATAGTATTTGCAATATACTTACATCGGGCACCTGTTTCTGTTGTATAGCATTATCAATATACTTACTTCGTGCAACTGTTTCTGTGGTATAGCATTTGCAATATACTTACATCGAGCACCTGTTTCTGTTGTATAGCATTATCAATATACTTACTTCGTGCAACTGTTTCTGTGGTATAGCATTTGCAATATACTTACATCGAGCACCTGTGTCTGCTGTATAGCAATATCAGTTTACTCTAGCAACTGTTTCTGTGGTATAGCATTTCGGAATATACTTACATCCAGCACCTGTTTCTGCTGTATAGCATTATCAGTAGTAAAAGCTAAAATATGATTGTAATTTGACGATGAATCTGAAGAAATCTCCAGTTGTAAATCAGTGTGTCTCGAATGTTTTAATTTTGAGAATTCAGCCAGAGCTTGTATGGCAACTGCGGTGTCCTGGAATAAAACGACAATTAGTTGGTCTTATAAAAATCAAAATCGAAGCATAAAGAATGGTTGCTAGGAAGGGACAAGGTTTATGTTATAACAGCTTTAATGTTGGTTGAAGTAGTCGTCTTTAGTTGTCATATACAGATCGTGCCATCGATGGTAATGAGGAACATAAGTGAACAAGTACAGTGAGTCAATAAATCATGTCATTCGGGACACCTCATTGAATTATAGATCAAAAACGCAGAAAGAAAAACCTACAGTTGGACTGACAAATCCACCATTTCCATTTCGTTTTCGTATCAACCAATCAGCGAGTGCATGAGGATTTAAATGTTTGTTTCTTAGATAAACCAAGAGGGCGTAAGCTGTAGTTTCTATAGAGAAAGCATCGGGACCTTGTCGGTACCAATATGGAGTTCCTTCTTGGTTTTCAGATTCTGTCCAGTACGTTAATTCTGTAAATGTATACATTGGTTACACGCACACAATGGAAAATTTGTTAGCAGTTCGATGTATCGTATTTTCTAAACCGTGGCATTCGTTAATTTACTACTGAATCGAAAATGTAAACAGTTTTATTCAATCGTTGAACTGATGGTAAAAAAATAAAATTGTCTTCATCTGCTCCAACAAATAACTTTTCAAATGTATATATATATATACACTACGAGTCGAACTAGTCACAAAGTCTAAGGTATGACAAACATCTTGTTCCAGAACATCGCTAAAATTTATTGAAATTGATATTATATAACTTATACCTGTTGAATTTTTAGCGGCCTTTACCAGTTTATTCACGGCTATCCGAACTTCCGGACTCTCTGTTAACTGTAAAGCATACGTCATCTTGGATAAAATCACTGGACTCTTGACCTTTCCCATCTCTTCCTCCAGGAACATCAGCAGTGTTATTTCTAGTTGTTGCTGATCGTACTGTAATAGAAAATTGGAAATCATTGCAAAATTCATAGTAATTCTTCTTCTAAACATTTTAAAGGAACAGATGAAACCAGATATTCCAGAGATTGTACTGACGGCATCTGGTTCCTTTAATACATGCTTATGTTTTAGACTTTATGTGGGTTGGGCCTATCTACACCTACCTAATGCAGAAATTGTCAAATGAAAACTTGTAGAGAGCATCGCTAGGAAGTATTTTGAAGAAACAGATTCTTTATTTATCTAATTCTCGATCTAAGATGCGGATTATGGCAGTTTTTCTTCCTACTATGGTTCCGGGCGAGGAAAGGCATGATTGAACTTACAGTTTGTGACATGTTACATTCTTTCTGAGCGATTAAAATCTCTGCTGCCAGCATCACATCGTATTCTTCTGATGGCTGTAAAAGAAAAAAATGATAACGAAATATTGATGTTGCTAATTGCAGCCGTCCGCAACTTTGTCCATAACTGAGATTAACGACAAATTAGCAAAAACATAACAATGGTGAGAGGAGCGTTAGAACAATTCTATTAATCAAATCAACTTGAGTTTGGTAATCCAGGAATCCAGCCTTGCAAGATCTAGGGGGTGAGAGATTACGAATTTTTTTTCAGCATTACCCCTTCAACCGTCAAAACTTTAAACATTTTTAAGTTGTTTGAATATTTGGATTATGTTTTTATGATATTCATCCATGATGATAATGAAACTTAATTTAATAACATTTTCAGCCATTCACCTTTTAGATGATTGAAAGACCGAATTGATCTTCAGTTAAGTTTTCGAGCATAAGGCTGAAGTATATATTTTATCTTGAACTGTAAAAGGTTATTATTTACCCTAGCTAATCTGTTCTCCTGTTCGCTAGGTCGGCCATCTTCATCTACCTGGTCTAACAACCACAGGAAGCCTTCGTTTATTAACTTTGTATCCACAAAGGAGATGCGAGACGCATGGCAGAGAGTCTTCAACACCAATGTTGTGAACCTAAAACATTTTAAAAATATTTCAAAGACCTTATTTGTGTGACCTTCGGTGACATACTTATGAATGATATTTTGTTCCATGAAGGATTATCTTAAATCACAAATATCAAACCAAATGTTTTTTTAGGTTTTGTTTTAACACTTCTAATATGGTATACATGAACTAGATTTCACTATTCTAGAGGCTTACCAAGTGGCCGATGGTGAGTCTTCACTTAAACTAAATGCCCCACTTTCTTTTCGGTATCTCATCAATCGGGCTACTCCTGAAATGCAAATCAAAATATGATGATCGTCAAAAATATATGAATAATGAGTCAAGAAAGCTACCGAACTACTATGAAGCTTCTTGAATATCAGCTGAATAGTTTGAAAATGGAGCCGAATAAGCTTGTGTAGTTTTAATAAAGTCTAGCGTTTCTTGGAGATAAACCTGTGTACATTGACTTGGGTGTAAAGCGACGTTGAGACATACCTAAATTTTTTAGATGTTCAACCCCTACTTACCTTGAGTTATATAACGTTTTCCTCTGTGAAAGGTGTCTTTATGTAGTAAATAAGACGAATTGAGGTATTCCAGAGCATGAATTGCTGGTGCAAGGTTCCCAATCACTTCCTCCGCCTCGTAAAATGACGAGACAAAAACATTTTCTGTTCCCAATAAAGCAGCATTTATAATATCACCCATCAAATCACCTAGTATAAATATAAATGGTGTTAATAACTGTTTTTTTAAATGCTTACTCAAATTGTCGTGTATAAAAACTAGATTATGATTGGGCCAATGACAACGTTCTTTTGTCAGATAACCTTCGAGTATATATCTGAAACAAGCTGACCATAGAAATTTTAATTTCTTTTTTTATATGTAAAACCATCATATATATATGTTACATATTCTTAAATCACTTCCATAAATAGTCTATCGTGATAGTGTCGTCATGGAGTAGTGTTTTTAAATTGTTCCATGCAAGACACTTGATGAAATAAACTAGAGTAAGGTACATTGTTGTATAGCGGAGTGTTACTCATAGCATACATCTCACCACAAGCCCCCTGGCACATCTCGACTCCTAGGGAGTGTGAAACGAAGGATAGGATCTCATTCGAAGGGGATTATTCGATATGAGCAATATTATCTTACCACAAGGTTCTGTTCTGGGTACAGGGTTGAAGGGGATTATTTGGTCTCTTTAAAACAAGTGTATAAGCAATATAATCTTACCACAAGCCTGTATACCACACGTTTCTGTTCCTGGTATGATATCTAATGGTAAAGCTAAATCTATTTCTGTCTTCTGTACCTTAGAACTTCCAATTATAGTATCTATATTAAAAAAATACAATACCCTATTGATACGATCTGAACTGAAAAATGAAATAAGGCTGGTCCGGTATTAACTATTTCAAAAATCCGTTCAATTCCTTCAATCAAAAATCAAAAGAATGGCAAAATCGGGAGTTTCTCCAAAGAGAGGTAGCATCAGGTGTTTCGAAAATAGTAAGCAATTCTTGAGGACTGATACTGGAGAAACGTAAATAAAGTTATTGATGATGTACAATGGTCCTGTCCTCTCTAGACTTTATGGTCAAGAAAAAAGCTAAAGGTTTGGTAAACTTTAGTAAAAAATAAAAACGAAAACGTACTGTTAATCGTTGGTGCATCATCTAATATTAAATTAGGTCCGTGTCTCCCACCATTAATATGGTTACCTTCGGGGTCCAGAGCAAGAGTGATGGTTTTTCTTAATCTTTTACCTTCCGCCTGGAACAATATAACGTAAATAGAAAATTTTGTAATTGTTATATTTCAAGTGACTGTAAATGAAAGAAGCGTAGCATAGTGGTGTTCTATTTATAACATTTACTGAATTGTCTGAAAATACAGGCATGGTTTAAGTCCGGTAAGTTTCCATAATCTGAATAACAATGATGGTGAAATCAAACCCAAAATTATGAAAACAGTAATTGAATGAAATGACATTTTTCGCAGATAGACATAAGATAAATGTTTTTCAAGCCTTCTTGAGTTGAAAACATGGCTGAAAACCAATTTTTAACGGCCCTGTATATAGTACATGTATAGAGTATTATCACTACCATAATCCAAATCCAAACCATACTTACCACGACATACAGTTTCTTCTCTACGACATCGATAACCTCATGGACATGGAACGAGACATCCAGAACTTCAACACGGATTGTGAGATCTCCAGTCAATAATGGAATCACTTGAAACTGTAAATTCCACTCATCCTCTACTATAAATGTTCGCTCAATATTCAGCTCATTTCGATTTCGATTCGTGGGGAAACAGAGGCCGATATCTCCTGTTATATTCAGCCGCACCTGAAATAGTGAAAAAGCCATTAGGATTTAACGAGAAACCATAGCTTAGCGTTGCTTTTGTTTTAAACTTGTTGGCGTTAAGACAATGCGATAGTTTTGATACTTTTGGCAACATCAAAATGTCTAATGGATTCTTTGATAATAAATAAGGAAGCAGCATGAACAAAATTCAATGTAAATAATTTCTGATTTTTAAAAAGAATATTGAAAATGTGTATTTACCCGTGAGTTTGATGTTTTATAATTATACACTGTAACTCTAGCTTCAACTTCTTCTAATCTTACTGCCTTATGTGGTAGTTGAAGTTTGGCGAAGAAAGGCATATACGATATGAATACTATAGGTGGCGCCACACAAACACCACGAGTAGCGGAAATACCTACAGCATGGATGACCCACGTGGTTAATGTATCTGGGAGGGTAATTTTTTCTGTCAGTCGTCCTCGGCTGTATAAACAAGTAACATACCAATATTACCAACACATAAAACAAAAATGATTCTTTCCACTTGCCATGTTCAATAAAAGTCATAATCTTCTATTGATAAATTCTTCTAATGCCGTTTAAACATAAGCTTAGCCCACAGTTCCTACATTCCAACAAAAACACACTGTGATTAGCTCGAGCATAGGGCCCATGTTTTGAGGTCAAGGGTAGCCTGATAACAAATTGAAAGAAAAGATTCTGACCTGCTGAGAACGCGATCTTCAAATAACCACGACTCTGGGAAATATTTCCTGATTTTCTTAGCAGGAATTCTATCAGAAACGGACACTCTGGTAGGCATTAACTCCCGTCGGACTTCTTTATTGATTCTAGGAAAGCTCATATCGAACCCTATAGCACCAAAATAAAATAAAATGTCACAATGGAATGAAGGTTATTTTGGATATTTGAATATTAATTACCAGATCGAAAATTTTTCCCATGATTCGGATATAAAGTCCAAAGACAGCACTTAAAACATTGGATTTTAAAGCACAGTTTCTGCTTTTATGAATACAATAACGCTTATACAAGTTCCATATTGAAACAGGTAACGAATGTTTCCCAGACAAACATGTTATATTATCTAAGATTGTTTTGTTATATGTTATATTATCAGTTGATTGTAAACCCTTCAGTCCTCTACATTCGAAAAGAAATCCAATTATTTTTGTAGAAACCGGTGAAGATATAAATAGAAAGTGAAATAAGTAGTATGAGGTATATTTGAAGGGATTGTGCAATTTTCGTATTAAGTACGAGTACCTGTGAAGATTTTTTACATTTAATCAAGGTCCAAAAACTACGAATATGCCGATTAGAATCTTTTAGGAAAAAATGTCAGGTTAATTACCTCTGTTCTGTGGTACGGAACTAAAGTATGGGACTGATCCAACTTTGCCAGCCTCTAAAAAGGCTGGTCGTTCTTTTTCATAGTTAAAATAGTATTTCAAATTATTCTCCTGCAATGGATAATCAAGAGTAAACAAAATTACCAATAAAAAGAATTCTAAATTCTCTTTTTATACTGAATAAAACATTAAAAGATTCTTTTCCTTTATATATCTCTCTATGACAAATACGGCAGCTGGGGGTAAACTTTCATTTCAACCATTTCCGGCTATTGATAATTTTGTCGTAAATTCACGATGGATTCTAAAATTGTGACGTGAATACATACCGAAATGACGATGTCCGTCATTTAATTATGGGTAAGAAGGAATATTTACCTTAAAGACAGTTGAAGCTGCCGCACTTTGAACCAACTTTGGACCTTTGTCATGTTGTCCTAACTGCTGGAATAACTGAAATTGACAAACACCACGTACGATAACAAAAAGTTAAGAAAATAGACCAAATCGCAAAAATGAGCATATCTCTATGCGGGCAATCTGATCAAAATGCAGACCTGATTATCCATAGATAAATATTCAGGAAATATTTCAATGAACAGAGCATTTTATTGGTTGAATATCAAATGATCTAGAACAGGAGTTGCATCACAACATCATTAGATCATGGATGACAAGCGGACTCATATTGCATGTAAACACATATGGGCCATATGTTTATCTTTGTAGCAATGTTACAGAATTCGGGGTTTGAAAATCAAAGAGACGAATGCAGGAGAAGCGAGAGAAGATGATACTGTAATTCCACATTTTACTCGTCTATTCGCATCTCTGGTCAACCCGACAGCGGAAATGTCGACAACGGATCGCTTAAAACTAACCACTGCGTTTTCTGACTAGTGTTTCTGAACCCGCGTACGCTAGCTCGCTACTGTCTGTTTTTGTTGACGCTTTCGGGTTGTATAAAATTTCTAAACTTACCGAATTTCTGGTTAAGGATATTTCATCATTGAGTAAATAAACAGCAGAATCCACCGCTACAAGACCTACTCTCATTCTAGGTCCACCCCTTATCTTTATACTAGTTCTTTTCTTAGGACTGGACCTTAACGATCGACCAGCTCCCAGAGCACTGTGTTGTAACCGGAGCTATAAGGTTAAGGAAATTGATAAACTGGGTGGCCCTTTTTAGTTTTGACGTTTAAAGGACTCTTCTTTGTTACCTTAGGTGTTTCTAAAGTATGTACTGAAGTGATCAAATGTTCCAATCTGTGCTGTTATCAGAGACACTTAACACATCCCATTTGAACTATAACTTATTACAGTAGATACAGTATAGCGACTCAAGGGCATTTTCCAAACCGATCTTTTAATGAAGATCGTCTCTTAGAAGAGTATTCATCATTAACATATCCCATTTGAAACATAGCTTATGCAACGGCCCCAGGTTTACATCAGACGAATTTCTAATCAAGTTATGATATTTTTGCCCGAAAAACATACCTTTTGGGCTGCGAGGGGTGGGGGGGGGGGGGGGGAGAGACCCCTCTGTTTATGAACAATAAGATATACCTACCTCCTCAAGACATTTAGAAGGAAATTCAGACGTTATGCTCTCAGCTTCAATATCCGAGTAGTCGTGAAAGAAAGTAACAATTCTGGCCATGGGCGACAACTCTTCGCGAAATTTTGCTGGTATTTTAATGGTAGACTCTCCAGATTGGTGGGAGAGGAAACTATCAGCAAATACAATCTGGCCCTTAGTGAGAACCTGGAAGAGGAATTACACCTTAAAATGACTGAAGTACATTTTGTTCAGAGAGTAAGTTTCATGGCGTTTTATTGTTTTCTACTGAAAGAATCTTGGCATACCAATGGTTACTGCAAGCAATTCGAAACTTTTTGTTGAAAATTGTCTTAAGAAAACGGACAAATGAACGCAAAGGTCTTGCATTTACCACCAATTTGATACATTAATGATACGAGTTTGACAAGATTAGCATACTTTGTTATAAGACACAATGAAGGGTTTGGCTTCAAAGCGATCTACTACACTGCCAAGAGTTTTATAATTGGATGAAATGTTAAAATGCGTGCATTTCTCTTTAAGACAGCAGCGCTCATTGTACCCAAGTCCTTAAAAAACAATGTTTCAAGCAGAAAAGTATCGATATCGTGTAAATAAAATGCTATCAATGTACACAGCTTACCAATATAAACATAGTTCGTTTTACAGCATTGGAATAACTCACTTTAACTACCATATCTTCATAAATCTAAAATAGAATATATAAAAAAATTATATATATGCTTCTAACATAAAAAAAGCTAATACATAGAATAATTCCGAGAGTGTGGTCTACACTAAATGTTCTTCATGGACACCAAGACAATAATGTAGTTGGCTCTTGTGTCTCTGATCAGAATCCCCCTATAATCCAATAAACTAGGTAATAATCCATTAAACGAAGTAATTATGAAACATGCATCGAAGAATTATTTATTTTAATGGACATATTGTTTAATATAAAGATTCTATTCATGGCACATGGTCCAACTGATGAATGTATACACTTGTCGACTAAGTTTGAGACTTGACATTCTAAAAGGTAGTGTTGCTTTAACTGGCTGTTTGTTCTCTAATCTAGGACTAATGTATTGTTAGTTATTCTATTATCAACTGATAGTATAATTTATATCTTGGTAGTATTTGCAGTTGATAAAAGTCGCTTTACAAGAAATTCAAATTAAAACATAATCAGATCAATCACAATCAGAGTTACGTACCTTGTCTCTGGCATTTTTGGCCAATGAAATGGAGTTAAAGCTGGAAGGTGTGACAATCCATTCTTTAGATTCTTGAGCTGTTAACATTGGATCTAGAGATATCACCTAGAAGAGTTTCACAAGTTTTCAGGATACGTTCAGGTATAAGGAGACATGGATCGTTGGAAAGGCAAGGGATGAAACCAACCAGTTGTCAGCTTGGAGATAATGTTACCTGCACCAATTATAGGGGGAAACAAGCAGAAAGAATCGAATGAAATGAATAGAGGTTTATGTCCTTATGTCTTCTGCACTAATTTGGCTATTGAAGACCGGCAACACCATGCAGTATGCATTAGCCTACTTTTTGGAATTCCAACTGTCGGGGAATCTTTAACGTGCACAGCTTGTAGCATACGAAAAGCAGAAAAAGATTTAAAGCATGTGTTAGCTCATTCCGACCACAGAAAACTTCTAATGTTCCTAACACAATCTGTCAGCTAAATGGATGTTAGGACATGTTATGGTGTGAGCTTATTTTACAGTTGGTCTTAAATGATCTATCTGGTCAGGAAGATTGGCGAAACAGAAAGTAACAGTAAACTACTACACTAAACCACTTCAATAAAATGAGCGTTTATGTAATAAGCTATTTCGCCGCTACGGAAGAGTAAATCAGTTGCAAGGTGGTGTTGTGGGGTCCTCTTTCGCTTGTAACTACTACGGAGGATTGTGCATCCCGAATTTTAAAAAATACAATGCCAATGGAAGTAAAACTAGAAAAACTAGTGTGATTGCACAGCCCCGATTCAATCGAAACGACACAAGGGGCGTAAAACTCCCTTCCTATTTACAGGTCCAGAGAGACCGAAGAGAAGGGGCATAAAACTCCATTCTTTTCAGAGATCCAAAGACGACAAGGAGGACAGAAATGGGTAAGCAGATGGACAAGAGAATTGATGTGATCTATACTGGTATATACGCACCTCACTCACCGTGATGTTTAACTTCTGGCTGTGAGCTGGGATCCAATCTATCAGGAAATCTAGGTGACCATTCTTATCACATTGTCTTACTGTTGTTTTAGCTGGTTAAACATAATAGATGGGGAAGAGATAGATAAGAGTTTATGTAGATGAAACAGACATTGTATCGCAAACCGACACTGTCCATCCTTTTTATGAGTTATGACTCGTCATAAGAACAGAGGCCTGTTTTACGAACTCCAAAGATGAGTTAATAACTAAAATTTTGAATTGAGCTTTATTAACCAAACAATAAGTTGTATTCTGAAAATCTGAAACCGGCCCAAATTGTTTAAGTGCTGATCGCACAGTAACACAGCGAGGATTGACGGTATAAATAACAATATGATGCTGTTCAATATTCAATATTTGTACTTGGACAAGGAAAGAAGCGAAGTGTCTGAACAGGAAACGCAACTGTCATTGTTCGAGTATTGACGATTGATTCTGATGTAGGTGACATAAACAACTGTGGTCGTGCTCGAGATCACTACACAGTCCGCATCCTGAATGAATACTTACGATCAGATTCTCCGTCTATACTTGTCTTAATATACAGATGTAATTTTGGCTTCGGTTGTCCTGTTATAGTCTTCATATTCACCTACATGAATAAATCAAATCAACCCATTTACAGAATCCTTCGACCAACTAAGATAAAATTTTCGGCATTTATTGACCAAAGGGTGGAAGATGCTGGGGAGTTGTTTTCGGGCAGTTGAAATTGAACACATTTCGTTGAGACAGGAGTACATTACAGAACCAATGGTGTAAAATAGCTAGTATAGATATGTTCTGCACTGCCACGGTAGTAGAAGAGTGTTTTTAAGGAATATCCTATCAGCTGTATAGGAAAGAAATTTAAAATGGCCGCCGAGACCTACCTCTAGACGATAAGGCTGACCAGGTTTAAAATTCTTTTTAGAATTCGACAAATCTATATTATAAAAACTAGTAGCGAACACGGAAGACTTGTCTGCGGCTGATTGAACAATACCAGTCTCCGTCTGCGTTACGTTTGTTTCGATATACAGCGGCGTTCCATGTTTCGGAAACCATAGGGAGGAGGACTTCAAATCCGATATGGGTACACGAATTGATGTTTTTCCTTTCCGTAATTGTGAAGTGTAAGTTTTTGGGAACAACGTAGCTCCATCTTTCTCTAAAACTCCAATTCTTACATTACACTTCCCATTTACTCCCTTATCAAATGTATGTCTGTAAAAAACCCAAGTTTAAAACATATATTGTAAGAATTGTCTTAGCACATTTCCACGTTCTCCAGCAAAACTAAAATTTTCCCAGCTATCCTAAAGAAAATTGCTCAAAATTAGCATCGTAAAATGCAACCCAGTTTATTGGTTGAGCAGAAAAGATTGCAGTTGAAGGCAACTAGACACCGGGGGAAAAGGTTATGAAGAACCAACTTACGTAGCATTAATGTTAATCCAGAAATAGGTTGCTGACTTCATGATGATTTTCTCTGATGCTTCGACATACACCGCGAATGTTGGTAAAACTGAAAAATACATCAAAAAATCAAACTTGGAATAAACAGGATTTTTAAGTGATATAAGATAGATGACATTGAGCTTTATCAGCGGGAAAAGAATATTCATATTTTTTATACCAATAATACTTTAGTCTCAGAAAAAGGGATTTCAGCTAAACCATTCAGTAATAGTGTTAATAGCTAACTGTTGAAATCTGAGCCTTCAAATCTCTGTGTGTCCAGAATAATCCGTGTTTAAATGTTAAAATGACGTCTCAGAAAAGACATATTCAATAGTAATAGCAATAGTGAGTAAAATTCCTAGTTTGAAGTATTTTTATAGGAATTATGTGATTTTCGTACATTTCTAGTACTTATGGAGACAAGTTACATATTTTCAAGACCAAAATCAACTCCCCAAAATGGGGCACTTGTTAAATGGTTCACCGATGCCCCACATCCATTCATAGCAGAGAAGGAACCCCCTAGCCAGGCGCGATCGTGAGATAAATACTTTGGTAATAACCTCGTGTACAAAAACTGGTACCTCATCAGAAATACATTGAAACCTTACATGTATAAATACTGGCGGTGGCCACATTGCCCAACTTGTCGCATCATGCCCAACTGCACAAAAACGACAAAAATCCATAAAACGAAACAAGACAAGTTCAATAAATAAAATTGGTCATAACTCGCAAGAGTTATGTCCCTCTACTGTATGGCAACTGAAATGTCTGAAAGTGAAAATCTTCAGAATTATCAAGCGAGGAGAAGTTTAAAATTCTCGTATTAGATGTGCCCCATAATTCGGCAGTGGTTCAGCCCCCACTGGTTCCAGATAAGTCCCAGAATGTCCTGGTGGACAAGGTAGACGCTGGGGTTGATTGGCTACCTTCGGCAGTTGGAGACAAAAATCGACGAACCTGCGATTGTTTAGAAAAAATGACAGTACAGACATCAGATAGATCCACAGGAAAATAAGTATTGCGGAATATAAAACCGTAAGCGATGAGGGTTCTATTTTGAAAACTCAAAATTTTAAACATTCTCCTCGCTTGATAATTCTGATTTACGTGGGTGACGCTATTGGCACGCAGTGAAGGGACATAACTCTTGCAAGTTATGACAAATTTTATTTATTGAACTTGTCTTGTTTCGTTTTATGAATTTATGTATTTTATATCATGGTTCTGATCGTTTGTACTTGGTATTTATTTTATTCCAGATTTTACCGATTTTTTCGATTTCCCTAACAGGTCCAAATTATAAATAAAAAGAAAATCGATGCAGGACAACAGATTAAAATATTTCGTTTCATGTGAAACAAATGGCCATTCCGGATTTTATCATAAACCTCTAGTTTCGTTTAACAAGTCGTTCTTGTGCAGTTGCGTACGATGTGTCAAGTTGGGCAATGCGGCAAAACGAACCCACCACAATACTGAGATTTGTGACCATCACTGAAACTATTCGTGTTAATTTGTGCGTCCATATATAAACGTTTTATAAATACGATATTAATAACTTACTATATTCATCCACTTCGAAATGAACAGTTTTTAAACAGGTTCCCTGAAACAAAATTTACAAAATTAATGAAGAAATCTGTATTTTGTTGAATAATCGAAAATTTAATTTTGTTCATGCTACTGTAAAGGCCGATTAATGTGAGTTATCGTGGCTATTTCAAAGGACAAAAGTTCAGTGATGAATTTTCAGCATCTGCTTCAATTTTAATATAAAAAAAAACTCATTAGTCCAAAACTTTAATGGTAGAAATACCCCTTTGATAATTTCCTGTCAGTGGGATCTAATTTAAAAGCAACGCAAGACAACTGTTGTTCAATACGATTGGTTTAAATGAAAAATTCATCCATGAAAAGATACATACATCTTCAAACGATGCAGATATTTTCCATTCTCCTAGCTCGGCTTCTTTAGGAATAGGAAATTCTTTAGCACTAAAGGCATCGCCATTTTTATATACCATTCTTTCAAGGATAATACCATTGGGACTCTGAAATAAAACAACACTTTGAGGTGTGTGAACTCTCTTAAAGTGAATCTCTTGACAATCATAGAATGAGACTATAGGTGTTCTACGAGGTACCACTTTTCAACCACGGAGAACTGGATTGAATTTTCTCTCATTTCACAAATATTAAAGATGAATTTTTAATTGCATGCCATTGTCTTATGATTTCTTATTCACAAAGTATACTAATATAAGTCAAGTAATTTGATCTTTGATCTGAAATATAAGTCAAAAAGATTGTTTCAATATGATTTTGCATAAGAAATTGAAAGTAAAATTAGAATACAAGCAATGGATATATCATGTTACCCGAGAATTGAGTACTGTTAATTCACGGTCAATACTCACGATAATATCTACTTTAACTGGACGATTGGTAGGACTCTGGTCTTGATTTACTGCCAACACACGATATTTTACTGTAACAAAAAAAATACGTAACATAAAGCAATTGTTTTTACATTTTTCTTTAGCTCTATACGATTTTCCCAGTTTTCCAAATAAACAAAAAGCTGTTCAGTGGCGAAGGCAAATGGGGGGCAGAAGGGTCAAGCACCCGTCTCAAGCATCTGGTCACAGGGTCACGATACAAAGCGTGACAGTTTAGGTCTTATGGTCAGGGGATAAAAATAAAACATAATTTATAACTACAACTGTGCAGATATTTATTAGAGGGTTTATAAGGAGATTTTCTAAAAACAAAAAAGGGTTCTACGTATCGGGGACACTGATAGCATCCATTTGCCCCATTCGAATTTACAATCAGACGTCTCTGGTTCCTGCAATCTCACTAAAACTATGTGTTTGATGACGTCACTAATCCCGAAGGGTTTTGATAAAGCATATTTCGTGATTAGAGACGTCATCAAACACTTTTTATTGAATTGCAGGAACCACAGACGTCTGACTTGAAATTGGAATTGTCCAAATTGATGCTATCAGTGTCCCCGATACACATAAAAAATTCAGAAAAATATCTATAAAATACCTTCAAAATTACTTACCTGTGCCCCTAGGTGTATAAATAGGTTTATCTGTTTGTATAAATATATAACCACTAGTTTTAGTTATAACTATCGGTACGCCTTGTTTCTGTTCCCCATGGGTTATATCGAGGTCAATGAAGGCATCATCTGATTGGGGATGACTGGAGGGGATATTAAATTCCATTACCCGAAGACCGTCTGAAAACAATTGACAAATACGGAATTCAATTATGTTCATCAGGAACATGGCAAAAAGGGACACGGGTATGAACTGAAACAGGATAATGGGCAAGAGCTTGAACAAGAACATGAACTAGAGCATTGACATGGCCATGGGCAAGAGCTTTGACAAGATTGGAGAGCATGGGCAAAAGCCCGAACAGGAATATGGGCAAGAGCTTGAACAGAAACATGGTACAGAGCTTGAATAAGAACATGGTACAGAGCTTGAATAAGAATATGGTAACGAGCTTGAATAAGAACATCGTAACGAGCTTGAATAAGAACATGGTAAAGAGCTTGAATAAGAACATGGTAAAGAGCTTGAATAAGAATATGGTAACGAGCTTGAATAAGAACATGGTATAGAGCTTGAATAAGAACATGGTAAAGAGCTTGAATAAAAATATGGTAACGAGCTTGAATAAGAACATGGTAAAGAGCTTGAATAAGAACATGGTAAAGAGCTTGAATACGAACATTGAATGAGAACATGGTAAAGAGCTTGAATAAGAACATGGTAAAGAGCTTGAATAAGAACATGGTAAAGAGCTTGAATAAGAACATGGTAAAGAGCTTGAATAAGAACATGGTAAAGAGCTTGAATAAGAATATGGTAACGAGCTTGAATAAAAACATGGTAAAGAGCTTGTATAAGACCATAGTAAAGAGCTTGAATAAGAACATGGTAAAGAGCTTGAACAAGAACATGGTAAAGAGCTTGAATAAGAACATGGTAAAGAGCTTGTATAAGAACATGGTAAAGAGCTTGAATATGAACATTGAGTAAGAACATGGTAACGAGCTTGAATAAGAACATGGTAAAGAGCTTGAATACGAACATTGAATAAGAACATTGTATAAGAACATGGTAAAGAGCTTGTATAAGAAAATTGTAAATAGCTTGAATAAGAACATGGTAAAGAGCTTGAATAAGAACATGGTAAAGAGCTTGAACAAGAACATTGTAAAGAGCTTGTATAAGAACATGGTAAAGAGCTTGTATAAGAACATGGTAAAGAGCTTGAACAAGAACATTGTAAAGAGCTTGTATAAGAACATGGTAAAGAGCTTGTATAAGAACATGGTAAAGAGCTTGAATAAGAACATGGTAAATAGCTTGAATAAGAACATGGTAAAGAGCTTGTATAAGAACATGGTAAATAGCTTGTATAAGAACATGGTAAACAGCTTGAATAAGAACATGGACTAGAATATTTACCTCGTGTAAATAGAAATTTTGCATGTTTAATATGTTTACCACCACTGTAAGAGAGTTTTAGATGAACTATTTGCGACCTCCGCACACCTGTCGCAGTCACTACTATAGTATTGGTTGTATCTGTACGGAATATCTTAGGCGATGTAACCACATAGGTGAATCTATAAGATAAAACCAAACAAAAAAAAGTGACTAGAAATGAAATAGAGTTTTATCAAATTAAAAGCAGTGACTCCTACCATAAGGACTTGTTGAATCAAGTTCAAGGGCAGGGGGGTCCCAGAATGCAGGACAGCATTTAATAAAAAAGGATTCCTGGGGGAGGGTTCCCAACCCACGGTCCCTCACTCATTTAGTTGAGCCACTGACGAAAACATCAAGACGAATGCCATATATCATATACCTATTCCAGGACATCTTGCGATCTGTATTCTGTACATAATAATTTCATTATTCAATATTTAGACACTTTAATGAAAGCCGAGTGATCACGTGACCTGTACGAAGTGTAACACAAACTCAAACTCAAAACCTGATGACATGCGTTTATATATGATGATTCCACAAAACCTTCAATGCACAAAGGAGCAGAGGAAAGTCCCCCACAGTAATGATGTCATAAAGGGGATCACCGAGCCACCCGTTGCGCTTACGATGGTGATGAGTTTAAGAACACATGTAAGCAGGAAATTGGTTTTGCTATGGATTTGGATAGGGTTTTATTGGGCTTGGGTTTGCGTACACATGTAATCGCATCTTTAGGAAAGAGCGTGACATGCATCATTATGATAATATTTCAGTAAGATCCATGGGAATCGACTCTCAAAAAATCTTGCGATCTGTATGATGTACATAATATATTTTATTAAGACGCCTTAATGGAAGACTCCTGAGAAACGGGGGCCTTTTCCTCAAAATACTCAAAATCCAAGCCTTCGATTTTATCTTTATTGAGTTGCACCCTTCACAAATAACTTCGTCGCAATTTCCTAACATCATATATCCACTTAAACCTTATTGACTTTTAGTGAAGAAATACTTAACGGAAAGGTTATCAATAGTTAATAAAAACTATTTCTAAGTCAAATGAAAAAGACCTACCGACTGTCAACTGCTAAAAACTGAAAAAATAAAATCAAACCAAAACACAATTCCTTAATTTCCATTTTAAGTCTGTTCACATGAAAGTTAACAGTTACAATGGTGGGTTTGTTTACAAACTGTCGAGTGATAGGAACTGTTTGGGTTATCATGCCAATTTATAAACAATTCCACACCTAGACCACAACAAATAATAATTTGATTATGTTACCCGAGTTTCAAAAGTCTCATCTACAGTTGATTTAGCTGGTATCGTTAGACGAGTCAAGCTATTCTTTCAGAAACGTTACGTTGTATGGCCGAATGAAGGCAAAGCAGGCAAATGCCTCTCTTTTGAAACGACAACCAAACTCAGATCCCCTTTTACCTCATTTTTAACTCTCATTGTGCTACGGTTGCTTTCAACATGTCAACCCTCTCTCAATATCATCCTGAACTTGTCAGATGTATCTTGTGATTTTGAGTTCTGTAAAGGCTATGTTTGGATTGTGGTTTGCTGCATAGATTTGCGCTGTTTGTGTTAATGTTAAAAGACAGTGTGTACATTATGGTCGATTTAAAAATTGCTCTATATTTGTAAGATACTTTCATTACAATTGATCATGGATATTTTGTTATACACAAACATGAAGGCGTTACAAGATTTTATAAGAAACACACATTGAAATAAATGTGGCCTAATTTAAATTCTCGACAGAAACCAGGATTTTCTTCTGAATCTTATCTGTTAAACATCGGTTTCAAATTTCACTCGCATTATAACATTTCCGCCTGAAATGACACGTAAACAATGTCGTTTCCTTACAGTGTTTTTGAAAGGTCCTCCGACTCTGACTTCGTTGGCCCTTAATACCTAGTGTCAATATGACAACGATAAAATAAGTTCAAATTTCATGCGTTGGAGTTAACGTTGCTAAGAATGGGTTCAAGTTTCAACTAATGATATGAATATAATTTGACAGCTCCATTCCATTAAACGCTTGTCAGGAAGCCGAATGATTACATGACGTGTAAGCAAACTCAAACTCAAAACCTGATGACACGTGTTCGTATACGATGATTCAGCAAAGCTGTCAACGTACAAAGGAATCCCCGTGAATTAGACGCTTGCTCACTAACCTGAAAGCCAGGGTTTAATCTCGACATAGGTCGAGATAATACCTTCGGATTTTTCATGCAGGCAAGAGGGGCTGACATGGAAAGTACATCTGGTCGTTCGAGTGGGACAATAAACGGAGGCCACGTGTCCTACATTCTGTGCAAGTTAAAGATCCCTCGAAAGTTGGAAATCGAAAAAGAGCAGGCTCATGCCACTGTCCTGGTAAAAGTTCCGCCACTGCAACTTGCATGCCGTTGACCGTCTTCATTAATCCACATTGTGCAGAAAAGTAGGACGTGAAACTCCATTCATTTCATTTCAATATGGATTGCACCTATCCTGGTATATAACCACTGTAATTCCACATGTTCCGTGTATTTAAAACCGGATTTCCTTTCATGGAATTCCACAACATATAAAAAACCAAACCAACTGCAATGCTTATTGGTTCCTGAATTTGGCTCAAAAGTCCAATCTCTTTATTTTGCAGGTGTGGTCTATTTCGTCATTGGTAAGGATTGACCACCGATAAACATATATTTTACTAGCTCTTTTCCTTTCTACCAAGCCTGCCTCCTACGTTCTGATCAACCACTTTGTGTCTAACGAGATTGATATAATGTTAAGGGGTGCAGAACCCTTCAAAAGACTTTTGTTTGAACCCAATGTTTAAGGTCTCCAACATGCCTGTCCATACCAGCCTACACCTTTAATACAGGACGGTAAGAGACAGCAAATATCTGACTGGTGGCTATGATTGTCCTCCTTCGAATTTCATTATTTATGTGGCATTTCTGACCATATTTTAATTTCATATTTACAACAAAACAGTTTATAAGAATATATTATAATACCATGGGGATAGTCATGTTCCTTTAGCAACAGTACGATAGTATCTAGTTAGGGTTCGATATTGATAATATATTACACTGAGTTGCTAAAGGAACACGAGGAATAGTAGACCGGATTGCAGACTATTTGAGGAACATTCCTTGGACAGCTTTAGTGTGGTGCTGAGGCACCGTACCTCGTCGTCTTTTGAAACTATACAGGTAGGTAGGTAGATGACAAGTTAACGTTCGCTTCCAGCGGATGCTGATATCGCAAGCTATACATAGACTTAAATGGCAGGAGTCCTGCAGTATTTTGCCCTGATTAACAAGGCCCATCTTCACAATGGTGAAGGTATTGTGAACTTTGTCTTATACCTTGACTTCAGTATCCACCTTTCTTTAATTACGGTATACAACAATGTGATTGGATTGTACGCGAGTGAATACAGACAATCAAAACCATGGACAGAAAGTCCGTATAAAATAAGCCATAATGTTTAATCTGTCTGTCAAGGAATTTGGCTGTATTTGCAAGCAACAATAAATCCACGATACAAAAGTGACTTTTGCAGTCAAGGTATTAGATACAGTGGGTAATAGCTTGACATTGTGAAGATGTTGGCAGGCGTCCTGCTGCTGTGTTATCTCAGGTCGTGCTTCCCAAAGAGTGCAGAAAAGCCCTGGGAATTTTTATAATTGAGTGCCACAAGAATTTATTGAAAATTTGTTCTGACAGTAGTATACTAATTATGCTTAAAACTGGTCCAATCCATAGAAGATGCAAATTAGCCAACAACACAAAATATGATAAATTTGTTGATTTATATTTAATGAGGGAAAAAAATAAAACTTAACAAAGAACAATAACATTTATACATAAATATGAACAAATTGCATAGAAAACCCATTAAAGAGTACCAAATAATTTAAAAATTAAAAAAGTGTGTACATCAAAGCTCATCATTTTTAGACAATCTTGGTCCTTTTTTAATCTTCTTCTTCTCTTTTTTCACATTTTTTGCTGCCGTTTTCTTAGCTTTTTTTAGTTCCTCTGCACGAAAATGTTTTTCATAATAGGTCTTCACTAAATCTATCTGAAAATGTATAAGATAAAAAGTGAATCCCCAAAAACCAAGTACATGTCAAGAAGTTGTGCATGGAATCTGGTTGAAAACTTGGGTTGGAGATGGAGCAAGGTGATTTTGGTTGATAAAGGAAACACCTTAGTAAAACCAGGTGTCAGCAGATAGAGTGAATGGCCACCACTAAGCTGTATTATCTGTTTAATACATACCTCAACTTCAGTCATATTACTGTAATCTGGTTTCCAATCTTCATCTTTATAAATTATATTCACCTCTTGAAATATCTGTAATAAAATAGATCAGATTTAGAACAGAATCAACAGAAATGGAACAGTTTAATTTGAACAAAAGGTTATTGGGATGAATATTCAAAAGCCCTGTCACTAGACCCTAACTGAAGTGGCTACATTAAAAATAAAAACTAATATATAAAGGTAGCTTGCCTGGCAAGGTAATATACCCGCACTGGCAGCTTTGATTTTGAATAAAAATATTTGGCAGTACAGTAACAATTACCAGTATGAAATATTCAACCTTCAGGTCATACATTCTTTTGAACTCTTTAGGGCGATACTGAATAATAAGTTTTATCAAAATCTGGAAATAATCATGACTTTTTGGTGTTTACAAGCTAAAAACTTATAACACTTTCAAGAACAAGGGCAATAACTCATACTGAATATTTTTTGATTATTCAATAGGGTCCATCCTTGGGTGATAATAAACACTCACACCAAGTTTCGTCAAAATCCATTGTGCCTTGTAGAGTGTTTATGAGCAATTGTGACAGACAGGTGGACGTACTGATATGGGTCATCTTACCACAATGGCGTATACTTACAGCATCTAATATAACTTTAGATGGTCCTTCAAAAAACTTGGACAGGTCACACCATTCCTTAGCCCAACCTAGTACATATCTCCATTGACGTATGTGATCATATATAGAATGAACCATATCTGGCATTCTTAGTAACAGATCACCAAATAAAAACACATTCTCATAGATTTTAGATATAGCTGAAAATAAGGAAACTTGGTTGTAATATATGGAATAAGTTGAGTTGAAAACGAGAGACAACAAATAATATAATATAAAAATATTTAGGCTACCTTAAGTATTGATATGATAATTTGATTACAAAATACATTAGGTATCTCTGAATATGATTCAAATATAATCACAAGCAGTCCACTGTATTTTTTGGGCTAGTTGCCTTTACATCAGATGTTCTATCTCATAACAAAACAGATAGTTTCAATTTCTAACTATTCTATCTCAAAACAAAATGAATTGTACCCAAACATACATAACAACATATTGCTCCTCTATAACAATGTTTCTAACAAAATCAGTCCCAGGTTTCATTTTATACAATAATGTGTTTTCTCTTCTTCACAATGTCAACTGTCTTCAATAGCCTATATGATGCAGAAAAGTAGGCCAAAAATTTCGTTTCATCTTCACAATGTCAAGCTATTATGAAATGGGTCTTGTACCTTGACTGCAATATCCACTTTTCTTGTATGACAATAAGTAATTTGATTGAATAGTACGCTATCGAATACGACTAGCCCCAGACAGAAAGTGTGTACAATATGCCATCAATTTTCATTCTTTCTTTGGGGGTTCTGATTGGCTGTATAATCTAGTGTAGCATACAATCAAAAGGCTGCATTCTGTGATACAAGAAAGATGGTAGTCAAGGTATAAGAAGAAGATGGCATTTTCTCTAAATGACATGAAAATAAAACTTACAAGCTCGTTCTTTCTCTTCCTCGGGAAATAAAGGGCCAGGTTTTAGATCAAATAAAGTAGTATTCATTCTGACTTCTTCCAATGTCTACAGAAAACATACAAATTACAAACAAACTGGTCTCTGGTCCAAAATATCTGATAATAACAATATATCGTAAGTGTGGAATTTTACTTGGAGAAATTACATACTTACAAAAAATTTGACCTTATATTTTCTGGGCGGGGCCATGTCTCTTATACTCTTATTGGTTGATCAAATTGTAACAAATTTTCTTTAATTTTTAATTTGATTGTAAGATTTTAAGCAGTTTTTTTCAAATTGAAAACTTTAGCTACATGAGTAAAATAAGTGAAATATTGACAAATTACTACACTACTACTCTATATAAAAATATTGTTTAAAAGAGAAGTTCCAGGCGATATACCTAATTGTAATATTTAAGATATAAGATTACATCCTAAGAGGTAGAATACCTTGAACAAACTGATGGTTTTTTTCATGCTTCAGGTCGTTTTTGATAGAAATTTATTGGTTTTTCATTCATCAGAACATTTGGTTTCAAAAACCATACTTACAGATTACCTCTAAATATTGTGATATCTACTTGAAACAATTTATGGTCCTGATTAACCTAGCCTAGACTAGCTTTACACTCACCTCAAATAACTTATACAACATTCTAGAAACCAGTTTATATCTTTTTTCATAATCACCAAATTTTGTCACTGCTTTGGTGGCTTCATGTTGGACTAGCCTGTGTTTCTGAAACATTTCTTTATCTAGGAAAGGTTAAGGAAATGGCTAAATTATTCTTGAAAGAAAAACCCAGCTATGTCTTGGATTCTTAAAAAAAAACAGCTATGTCTTGGATTCTAGACTTCTGAAAGGGTTGTAATTAAAGACATAGGCCTAACTGATTTCAAAGACAGCAGGGTGTTTGCCTCGTAGAACAAAGATCCTAGTTACAGCCCTGATCTCAAGCTTTAGCTTTGGTTTAAAGGATACAAACTTTCCCAGAATATAGTCTGCGATGTGCGGAGTCATGCATATTATAATCATCATCCTCAAATTTTCTATTGAGCAGCTTTTCCCTTTCATTTTCATGCTTGTATGAGGTTTCTTCAAAAACTTCTTCTTTATCATCAACTTCCAAATCTACAATGCCTTCAACATCACCCCCGACCTTCTTCATAAATGTCAGAACCCCAAAAAGTGATGCTAGCACACCAAACTTCATCAAAAACATCGTAAATTTTATGACTGTTTTAACATGTGCTACCTTTTAATCAGATCCGAATCGTTGCAGAAAGTGATAATGTAATGAATTTTCATTATTCGTTAATATTTGTCCATAATTAAGTGTGTTAATGAAGTTGTAATCATACAAGCTGCGACAAACGACATTTTTCCACGTGTTGTTTACAAATAAAGGGGAATCCTCTTCCGGTTATTTTTATAGTAGCGGATATGACGTCATGAGGTATTCCCCAGAATTACAGTCATGGCCGACGTGGAATTTCTTTCGGAGCAGGTAAATCTAAATATGAAATATTTCTTATGTATTTAGCGTGAGTTTTGTCAGAATGTTTGTGAAAAAGATAAGATTGGAGTATTGTTTTACATTAGACGTTAAAATGTTGCGGTTGTTGATTGTTTTTCTGTAAAACATCAGAAGATAAAAAAAAAGGGGGGGGGGGGGGTGCTACTTCCCTCGGTCTAATAATGTTTACAGAATCACATGAAATTTCTGGGAGGGGTGTGTGCTTACTTTAAGTGGACCCAAAGACATTCTTAGATCTAAGGCGTATGTGAAAAGAAATTGGAATCTAAGCTTACTGTAGACAGAGAGTAGTATTTTGTAGTAAGTAATAATTCTGTTTGTGTTGTAGACGAATGAAGAATACCTACAAGGAGATATAACAGTGCCTGGTTTGGCTAAAAGTGATGAAGATCTTTCTACTCTGGATGAACCTGTTAAGGATACAGTGGTGAGATTGAAATCTTGCTTGGTTTTTTTAAGACATTAAGATTGCAGGAAAGAGGCCAGAGGGATGCTTCTTTTTCATTCAAGAGTCAGGGCTTATAATGTTTAACTTCACTATGTATAATTATCAGGCTTTGAGACTGATCCATCAATCACATTCACATTTTTGTGTTCAAATGATATACTTGTTGTTGAAGAATTATAAACTACCACCGCCAGTGTCTCCATTTAAAGTTGTTTCAACATAGATGGTTGGTCTTCTTACGACACAGGAATTTAAGCAGGAATCAAGAATATAAAGTTTACTGGTTGAGGACTGACATTGACAACAATTCTTACCCATTCTTACAAATTGTTTTGTTTTGTCTTACGGATTGTTTTGATTTCAGTTGAGAGATTTAAAAGCTGTTGGTGAAAAATTCTTCCATGTTTTATACCCAAAAACCAGTAAAACTTTACTTAAAGAATGTAAGTTATAAATTAGTAATTATTTTACATACCAATATTTATACTGTATTTATGTAAAATGTTTTCCTCATTGGAAGAAATATTAAGGCACAGTAGCAAATTCAATCTATAGAGTTAAATAAGTAGCTATCTCTGTGCTATATCGTGGGTGACCGCTTGAAACCTCGTATAACGATATCTGACGCGGAATAACTTTACGAGAAAAACGCAAAATACTATTTGTACGCGTATTTTGTTATAATCTTTTTTATTATTTTTTTTACCGCTATGCGTGGTTTTCATTCTTTGAAAATATAAACCTCATATAACAATTCGAGATCTCCGGCCTGTAGAATAATACAGTATACGAGGTTTTTCATTTTCATCCGCAGAAAAGGAACATTGAACCTTGTATAATAATATATTTTACGAGGTTGTTATTTAACTAGCGATTTTTGAGTTATTTACAATCAAGGTAAGAATACTAGGATTTGATGACAAGATCCGGGCTTTTACGAGCTTTCGAACGGTACCAAAAAGACAACATGACCAAATATGGCATATACGAGGTTTCAAGCGGTCACCCACAATATGTGTTCTTTCATCATAAAATTTTCTTTGTTTTTTATTTAAACACAGCTCTTCACATGTTGCCGATATAAACAGATGACACCATCTATCTTTTTATTACAGGGGATCTGTGGGGCCCATTAATTCTCTGTGTATTTATGGCAATGTAAGTATAAATTGTAAATATTTATCACTTAAAGATTTACAGTATATTCATAACTGGTTTACAATCTAATGAAAGTTTATACTTACCAAAACACCTGTACTGTCATTATATGAACTCGGTTTCTGGATATTTTGCTTGTAATAAGTCTGAATTTAGAAAGACAGCAACCTTGATTCATATTAACAGCTCTGGGGGTTACTTCACTCATTCTAAGACTATTGAGTTACTTTATGATTTACAACAAACATCACTATAATAAGAGTATTGAGTTACTTTATCATTTACAACAAACATCACCATGATAAGACTATTGAGTTACTTTATCATTTACAACAAACATCACCATTCTAAGACTATTGTATTACTTTATGATTTACAACAAACATCACTATGATAAGACTATTGAGTTACTTTATGATTTACAACAAACATCACCATTCTAAGACTATTGTATTACTTTATGATTTACAACAAACATCACTATGATAAGACTATTGAGTTACTTTATCATTTACAACAAACATCACCATGATAAGACTATTGTGTTACTTTATGATTTACAACAAACATCACCATGATAAGACTATTGTGTTACTTTATTATTTACAACAAACATCACCATTCTAAGATTATTGAGTTACTTTATCATTTACAACAAACATCACTATGATAAGACTATGGAGTTAATTTATGATTTACAACAAACATCACCATTCTAAGACTATTGTGTTACTTTATGATTTACAACAAACATCACTATGATAAGACTATTGTGTTAATGTATGATTGACAACAAACATCACCATTCATTGTGATATTTCAGGTTGCTACAAGGAGGAGGTGAAGGTCAACCAGAATTTGCAGAAGTGTTTGTGATATATTGGATAGGAGCTGTTATTGTTACTTTGAACACTAAATTACTGGGAGGTAATATGTAAGTATGGTTTAAAATTAATTGGCATTGAAAGCAGCATTTGCCTACATGTTTGTTGCACATTAACTGTCCAATACTGTCCAATACCTAAGATGGTTCTGTGGAACTCCAGGTTAGCAACAAACAATATAACTCACTAAGTCACAGAGGCTTCCCTTAAAGTCACTTGCAGAAGTCCAACTGTATGAAGTATAAGAAAATTTTTTTTTTTACTTTTCAAATTGTTTATTAACCAATTACTAACGATCCAAACCGCAAAACAAAACCCAAAATCCAAAACAACATTTTGCGGAAACATTGGAAGCAGCCCATGAGGAAAAATTATATATTTCAATATATATCAATCATAAGTGAATAAGTTTTTCATAATTAAAATAGTATCAGGTGTCTAGAAGAGTAAGCATACCCTGCCTGGTGCCATCTATAACGTAGCTTTAATTTTCATATATGTTTTCTATTGCAGCTCATTCTTTCAGAGTGTATGTGTATTAGGATATTGTGTGACACCATTAGCTGTAGCTCTATCTGTGTGTCGTATCATACTAATAGCCAATCAAACCACAGCTCTATTTATTATTCGATTTGTCTTTGTTGTTTTGGGATTCGGCTGGTCAACTTTTGGTAAGTCGAAATTTTATAAATCCACAAGACATGTTGAGAGTATACTTTGTCATGATTACTATCTCGAAGTCTTATTTCTTTCTGGTATTAATTCACTTTCAGTGGACTTGATATAATAGTCTGCTTGGAATACGTCTTGTGTTCATGTCACATAAGCCCATCGGAGGAGAGGACAGTGGCTACATAAAAATAAAGCTAATAATAAAAAAATGGAACAAAAGTTTTGTCTTATTTATTAATTGCTACAAGCTTATGGAATTGATTTGTAATGTGATTTATTGTTCAAACACACTTAATGCCAAAGCTTGAAATTCATGCAAGCCGCTTTGTTTATATTTTGGCTACTAACAAGTCTGAAACTTCGACTCAGTGGCTACTAACAAGTCTGAAACTTCGACTCATTGGCTACTAACAAGTCTGAAACTTCGACTCATTGGCTACTAACAAGTCTGTAACTTCTGGCTACTAACAAGTCTAAAACTTCGATTCCTAACAGACATGTCAAAATGTATGTCAGTTGATGATTTGTGTTTTTTCTATATTTTTCAGCTTCAACAGCATTTCTTGGTGAATGTCAGCCACCTAAGCGTAAAGTGCTATCATTGTACCCAATATTTTTATTTTATTTTGTAATAAGCTGGTTGATAATCTCTCATACACATTAATAACATAACTACATTGGGTTTTGTTTGTACAGCAGTGGGTGATGAAGTAAACATATGTTAAATATTATAGAGTGGGGCATGACATGCTCACCATTCAGGAACACTGTTGCTATTATGTAACTGGGTTTATTGATTTAACGTACTTTCAGACAGTTCACATACCATTTTGGGTATTTTTTAACAGAATGCATGAGTAGAGCATACTACTGTTTCAAGAACACTATTGTCATTCTGTGATTGGGTTCTGAGTGACAACTCATGGAAATCGTAATGTATAAAATGACACATATACAGTAAAGGGGCAGAAATAAACCTAGGTGGTGCATTATGGGGCAAATGAGGTCACTTTCCACAACCTCCCTGGAAAAATGGATCAAATTTAAAAAGCAGTTTACTTAATGCTTATATTTATCACTGAAATAACTGTTACATATTTATTCAGATATTCCTTATAATGTACCATTTCAAATTTTCGAAATTTTTTTTGCCTCAATTAGGGGTTTAACCCCCCCTAACAAAAAATTTGCTGACGCCCTTCAGTGCATTGATGCATCTAATATCTTGTGTGGGATAGATATATATCCATGATAGAGTGTTGTGGAGATACTTTAATTGTACTAACTGGGGAAATTAATGGGTGGTTATTGAGTTTTGTAAATTGTTTTCTCTCTCAGTTATAGTTTAAAACTTTTATTGTATTTATGAGTAGCTGTTCAATTTAAATATGAATATATTTATATTATATTGATAATATCATGGGGGATTAAATGACCCTAGAACTATTTGATATAAAGTTTTGTCTTTATTTATTGCCTTGTTGATTTCTGTTATCTATTTTTCCTTATGATTTGATGTAAATACTTTGTTAATGTTTAAATGAATGAATGAATGAATGAATAATGAATGAATGAATGAATGAATATTAGAGTAAATGAATGTGGAAAAATTGAGTGAGTGAGTGAGTGAATGAATGAATGAGGAAATGAACGAATGAGTGTTAGATGAAATTAATGAATGAATGAATGTTTAATCTTGAAGGTGTCTATTGTTAATAAAGTGGTTAATTAAAGTTTCTATCACTTTTTCAAATTATTTCCCTTGGCCCAACACTTCATTAAATTTGGTTTAAATGCATCAACTCTTATGTCTATAAAACTATCTTACTACTTGACATACTGGTGAGTTGGTGAATCAACAAACCCTTTATAAAATATGAAATATTGGCATTGAATCCCTTCCATACATGACAGAAACCAGTATGTCGAGTATTGATATGCAGTGTATTTATGTAGTCAAAGATGTACAGCTTAAATATAGGAATTTCTTCACTTCTTGACATACTTCTTGACTCAATGGTAATTTACGGAAGGGGGTCGGTGTCATGACATATTGTAGTCTAAGATGTACAGCCTGCGAAATACAGAGATCTCTTCCATACTTGACATAAATCAGTATATCAAGTATTATTGGTATCAGAGATTTGATCTATACTCTATATTGGTAGGCAGTGAATTATGGAAGAGGATTGGTGTCATAATGTGTTATAGTCGAATAGGTACAGCATACAAATGAAGGGTAGGGTTGTTGTGAGTTTCGAGGTTGATGAGGTTCAGACTATGATAATGCCTAGGTAGAATACACAGTCTATATAATTACTGTGCACAATACCTACGCAATACCACAATCTACAATGTATAGGATACATAGGACATTATTTGTTGCCTACTCCAGTCGACCTTGCTTAGAATCAATGAGACCTCCTTCGACTATCCTCAAGTGATATCAATTTTCACAGTCCTGTAACTGGAAGGGAAGAGAGTCGAACATGGAACCGGCTTTTATCTGCTTAAGGGGGTTGAGGGGTCACGCATTTCTGTAAGTTGACGAAAACATGCCAACTATCGACTATGCACGATAATTGATGCTTATCTAATTGGTCAGCAGCAAAAAATCAAACTGTTTCTTCAGAAAGTTTTAGAAATCTAAATGCTACCTAGGTAGAATTCACAGAGTTAAAAAATACCTGTGCACAATACCTACGCAACATATAAACTTCAGGCAGATTAGCTTTTCTTTGCAAATTTTCGATTTATAATGAGTCATCTTAAGCTACCTTGAGCTTCCCCTTTGGGAGCATATTGATCTCTTCAAATCAAAGAAAACAAAGACCAACAATACATTAAACCTGCTAATTGAGAAGGTTTGGAAATGTAAATGCTACCTAGGTAGAATACACAGAGTCGGTATAGTATCTGTGCACAATACCTACGCAATATCAAAACTCCGTCAAATCCTGCTTGTTGCAAACATCTTGCTATTCATTAGTTATTATTAGTCTTCTAAGGCTTTACTGGGCTACTATCATTATAGCATCCAGGTATCACCCTTGATATGAGGGACATACTCATCCTTTTTAAATTTCCTCGTAAATACTCCCCATTGTTGATCTGTTCGTGCCAATGCACTGCACAGGTTCAATGCACAGAATATAATGGACTCTGTGCACATTACCTACGCAATGCATGAACAAGTTTAAAAACAGTCAAATATGCTACCGTGACAAGAATTTGACTTTGCAATTAAAAAATTTTAACATAAAAACTAAAAATCGATGTAACAAGTACTAATTAAAAGAATCAAAACTCAGTTATTCTGTAAAAACTTCTAGGAGTCAGAGAGCCTTAACCACAAACTCGTTAGCCACAATAGTATCCAGTTTGAAATTCAGAACAAAGCACAAGTCAATGTAGAAAGACTGAAACAGTTTGAATGATATTTTGTTTGGAAAAATCTCAATATATAAGCCGAAATATGGCTGGTATACCATAGTTACCCCCGTAGATACAGCTTATAGTCTTGTTTACACCATACAGATTACAGGCCAATAACGTCACTCATGTCTTAATCCAGATTTAATCCATATCGATAGCTGTAATCCAGTTTATGTCATAATCCAATCAATGGCCTGATTTTTGGAACTAAGTTTGAAGTCATCAAAATTTTAGAAAAACAAATAA